GTTGGCCGGGGATAGATAGTAAAGAAAAGCGCACAAGTGCAGATTTGACGCTCGCTCGGCAGTCGGCACCAACGTCGGTTTCGCACCATTCGCACACGATCACGTGCACGCCCCGGGCGGCCCTTGTCGGCTTGTGGCCTTGATGCCCGCCTTGGTGCTTATGTTCAGCCCACTCTTTCCTTTGCACCTGATACAGAGCCGCCAGCACGCTGACATCTCCCCGTGGGGGCGGCGTGTTTTCTTTTGACCGCGCAAGATATAAAGGGTGTCCTAAGGGCTCTGCTCGCAAGGCGCCCGCGTCGCAGACGCGGTACCATTGACAAATCTGCAATATACCCCCACACGAACAAATAGCAAAATCCGAATACCGTGCACGAATCCGGCGATGTGGGACGCAAGCCTTCAGCTGGTGCCAAGACATTCGTAAAATTGAAGCCAAGAACGGCCGCCAAATCCGTGCTTTCGGAGCAACTGAGGGAAAGCCGCTGATCGAGCCCAGCGTGCCCGCGGCCGCCTCCCGCGCAACACCGTCGCTGGGGACGACACGCTGCGGATTCGGATCGAGCCCATGGAGGAGGAGGGCGCGGTCGGCCAGCGCAGCAGGCGGAGTCCCTCCCCGCGCCGGAGCCCCCTGCAGTCGAGGGAGTCCTCGTTGGCGATGAAGGTGGCGACATCGAATCGCGGCCGACACACGTCACGTGGGAGGAATGGGCGATGAGCGGGAACGATGCGCGCTACGACGCCGACTCCGCCGTGCTCGTGGCCAAGATGCAACGGCTCGCTTGCTTCGATTCAGCTCTCTCGGCAGCAGAAGTGGGGCTGGAGCGGGTGGGGGTGGATGCCGATTGAGGGAGAGCGTCTCCAGCTGCGCCCTGTGGCAGCTGCGCCCTGTGGCAGCTAGTCGAGGGACTTGGTAGTTGTGACCCCCCTGAGTGAGGACAGGAGAGAGAGAGAGCGTTTTGTGGTGTTGGTGTACGCAATAACGGGACAGGGTGGTTGTTCTCTCTATCTCCTCTTCTAGCTCTTAGCATGACCTGCGCCCTGTGTCCGACCCCTTTTGCGCAGCAACACCTTAAACTTTCAGGCCCTCCAAATTCGGGTCGGAGCGTAGCGGAGTGGGCCCCGAGTTTGAAAAGGGCGACGGACGCTTGCGTCCTAGCCTCCAACAACGCCTCCCCGGCGCAGAGGGGCCCCCGGAGGGATGCACAACCGCTCCACGCCACGCCGCTTGCGGCGGTCCTCTTCCCAGCTCCGCTGAGGGCCCGTGCGTTATTTGCACAACACTGGGCGGGGGGGGGGGGGGCTCATATATGTTTGTATACTCCGGCACGCCGAAAGTGGAGCTAAAAAGTCGTCCTTGACTTCTCAGCGCCCTGACGGCCCGCCGATGGCAGACCCGACTCCCTCCATCCGCATGGCGCCGCCCGATGGTGCCGGTAACCCTATTCCGGAGCGGTTTCTCCTAGGGTTAGCGCCGAAAAAGTCGGCTCCCTTAGCTCCGGCTAGGGCTAAGGGGCCTCCGCAGCCGACCGCGAGGAAGGGCCGACTTTGGGTTAGCATAGCGGGCCGATAAGGCCGCCCACACCCGCGAGGATGGTTGTGTGTTTGCCTCCCCGACTCGGACGGCCGCCTCAGAGGGCGGGAGTGCTTCCTCTCGCCCTCTCACCCGCGGGAGATGGCCGAGTCCACGGAGCCGCACGCTGCCTCTCCTTGGACGCAAGGCTCCGACTTCTATAGAGAAAACCCCATCTGCACCAGCGTTTTAAAGTGAAATCGTCAAGAGAAATCGATGCCCCGGGCTGGGCTTTGGGGTAGGCAGCCACCCTTTCGAAGGTGAGGCGTATCTGCCGACCTGTGAAGACGCTTTACTTGCGAGCAGTGCGTGGACCAGATGGCACGAGGGCACCGCAACATGGCTAAGGAGGCAGGGAAGCTTCTGCTCCGAGACGGCCGCTCAGGACCGCAAAATGGTGTTCCTGAAGGTTGTGTTAGTCGGGCTGGCCAGTCCCCGGGGCCTGACGGTCCAATGTTTCCCTCAAGACTACTTCCCCCCTACCCCACCCTTCCACTTTAGATGTGTCGGACCATAGCTGCCTGAGCAGGCCACCACCACTGCCACCACCCGACATGCTCCTCGCAGCCAAATTCGCGTTGCCAGTGATGATAGTCGCTATCGCGGTGCCGCCTGCACTGGTGAGCCTCCTCGCCTGGTCCACGCACCCCGGGCCCGAACAAGAGCGGTGGCCCGGCCGGCCGCAGTTGAACAAGGTCTCGGGCGTGCCGGCAACGCCATTCATCACGTCCGATCGAATCGACCAGCTGCAGAACGGCACGTTCAAGCCCTCTAGCAAGGACATCTGGGTCGCCACGTACCCCAAGACCGGCACCACCTGGACCCAGACCATCGTCAACCACATCAACGGCTTCCCGCCGCTGGAGCGCGGCCAGTACCCCTTCACGTACTGCCCCTGGCCAGAGGTCAGCCTCGGGCTGCCGCCGCTCCGGTACTCCATCGAAGAGATCAACGACTTCAAGCGCTGGGAAGGGCCGGTTGGCGGTTGGCGGTGCTTGAAGTCGCACTGGCACTACGCGGACCACATGGCGGACGCGGGCAAGCGCGTCATCTACGTGATGCGGAACGTGCTGGATGTGGCCACCAGCTTCTACCACCATAGTCGCCGCTTCCACTTCGTCTACCTCGACATGGCCGACGTCAGCTTCGACGCGTTTTTCGAGATGCTCAAGGCGGGAAACGTCGACAACGGCGACTACTTTGACCACGTCGCGTCGTGGTGGGCAGTGAAGGACCGGCCAAACGTCTTGTTTGTCC